TAGCACTGGCTGGAACGGGACAGAGCAGTGCGGCACCGCGGGTAGTACGGACGTAGGTCAGCTAGCCGAACCGTTACTAGCTGAGCAGTCTTATTCCCTTATTTTCCCATGGAGGTATGGATTGGCGAATTATATGGAAGACATAGCTCCAGCTGGGCTGCGTATGAGTTTGGAGAGTCGACCCCCTGCCCCTGTCTTAATGCCCTTTTTATGAACATCCGTACGGATACACTACCTTGGTACGCAGTACTCTGTAGGGAAGTATCCATGCAACTGCATCTGTCGCGTTGTGTTATCCAGAGAGTCTGTCACTCTGCGTAGGTAGGCACTAAGTATTCGTACTTTAGTCTTGAGGAACGGTGATACCCTGAAAGCGTGGCCCTGGCGCGAGAGATGATCATGGCCCAGGCAAGCCGCAAAGCATCCACAAGGATGGATGATGGATGGCTATGGAGCCTGGCACGTCTGGGCGTGTTCTGTCGGTCGAAGCTGCCCCTGTGTATCCGTACCCGTACTCCGTAGCGGAGACCGGAGAGATACCTCGTCCAAGGTGTCCATCGGTCCTCTTTCGGTCTTGTCTATCAAGTCTCATCTGTGTATCCGTATCTGGCCAGGTTCATACGGGATACTCTGTAGCGCGCGGGCATGCCTTACGCACCCACATTTGCTCAGCTGCCGGGGGTACTCCGTACGAAGTATTAGCACTGGCAGACGAAAGACGACGGTCGAAAAGTCGACAGCCGTGTTCATGACCCTTGTGATATCCATACACAGTATTAGTCGAAGTCGAGGTGGACGGGTGGTATCCGTACTTCGCAGTCACACCTGGTGCTGGCGTGCTGCAAGAAGATGGAGGAGGGTCTGGGCCCCGGGGCCCTGTCTTGCTCAGCTGGGCCCTGTCAGTTCTCCTCACCAATCTTGCCCTATCCGCATCGGTGCGGTGCCGTCACAGAGCAGAGAGCAAAGCAAAGTAAAGCAACCTAAGCAAAGTAGAGCTGGACATGCCCCCCCCCCCACTCCCGTCCCCCCACCCCCCCCCCCCCCCCCCTCCGCAGCCGCCGCCGCTGCAGCCTCTCTCAAATCACATTTGCCAAACCACTTGCTAGACGAGCTGTCATAAAAAGATGCTCGCCTCCTCCGCCATTCGCAACACATGGCACTCCTCCAGATCTCCTCCTTCTTCTTTTTTCTCTCTGTCTCCTCTCCCTCAGCCATTACTACACTATTAGGTGTTTGTTCTCGCTGTGATTCTGGACCCAAACAAACTTGAACCAACGGCATCCCGCAATCAAATCAACCCGTCGTTTTCGCCACTAGCAGCTCGGCTCGTTCCAACTTATCTACGAAGTACGCCTACGCAAGCTACCTACGGCTACGGTACGGATAATACCTAGGTTGCATCTCCTCGCCTGCCCTCGACGTATTTCTTCGAGATTTCAGCCAACCTTGGTTCAACGTCCGAGTGCATCCACTACGTCAGGTTATCTGTGTCTGCATGTACCTCAAACTCAGACTACCTTAACCTCGAGGGAACTGCAACGTTCACAACCCCCCCGCCAACGCCAAAGAAAAAACCTCCACCACCACCACGACCACCACAAAACGGTCTTGTTCTGACCGGCCTGCGCCCTCTCCGCACTATCCATCAGCTTGGATATCCGACTACACTTCGACTTTCAGCCCCCGTTTCTCATTCTGCAGTAAACCGCACCGAGGTGGCAACTGTCACTTGAACACCTCCAATCCGCCTTCTCTCACTGCGCATACCTGCTTGTGTACGACGCGACGCAATACCGTCCATACTCTGCACGCCCGCTACCCTGTGCCAGTCACATAAGTCGGGTCCACCACTTTCACTGCCACGGCCACTCGATCGGTATAGCTCGTGAGAGTGAGACTGACAGCCTTCGCTTGCGAGGTGACAGCGCAATCTGTGTCCCACGCCCAGCATCCAGCGCGTACTACAATCAACAACATTTTGAGAAAACAACCACTCAGCTCAGTCCCGATTGGTCTCCCAGACGTATAACAGCTGCCGCTCAAGATAAGTCGAGCTTCTATTTGGCGCGGCCGCCTGATACGACGCCTTGTGGTATTGAAGATCCACCAAGCTCTCCGCGGCATTCAAGCATTCTCTTAAAGCCTACCCGCCATACTTCGCAGCCGATTAAGACTCCGGACGACGTGTGAGGAGACGGACGTAATTGCGATTCAATCGGACATATATCCCAGACCTTGTTTCAGCCACGAGCCAACTGTTCTTTGTCATGGAGCAAACGTTCATGACCATTCATTCCACGGACCCCAGCGCTGCCATTTTATTCGTGTCCGACTCAGTCTACGACATACTGGGTTATACCCCCCAGGAAGTGCAGGGAAAATCATGCTTTGACTTCTTCCACCCCGACGAGGTACCCTTCGCTCGCTCTATCCATAGTCGCGGCGTCTCGCTAGACAAGGCAGCCGTGCTTCACTATGCTCGCATCATGGCACGCGATGGCCAGTGGGTGAGCTGCGAATGCTGCTTCACTGTCGTTCACGATGTCTTGGTTGCCTGTACCAGTATTTATCGACGGGACGAAAAGAGTCACAGTAAGCGAGAAATCTTAGCATCACATTCAATTCATCTCATGCTAATGCCGCGACAGGACGAGCCGTCGATGCACCTCAGATCCGTCGATTGTTCTCGAGCTCCCCTCGGGATCCTCGTTACCACATGCTGGAGCATCTCTCACCCAAGTTCAGAATGCCCCCCGTGGAACGCGAGCCCCGCGCAGCTCTCATCCTCAACAGATTCACCCGCACCTTGACCGTCATGTTCGCGACCAATGCAGTCTCCTCGATTCTCGGCGTCAGGCCCGACCAGATCAAAGATAAGAGCTTCTATGAGTGCATACAGGAGAATTGCCTGCCGGATGCCATCCGTTGTTTGGAAAGTGCAAAGGCCAATGACTCGATTGCCTACCTAAGGTTCTGGTACAGAGATCCGCGTCGGCCTGAGGACTTTGACGATGAGGAGGAAGACGAAGAGCACAACAGCGGAAATTCCAGTGACTCTGAGGGCGGAGGTGTCCAACTCGATGGTCGCATGGACATTGACAAGGATGACGGTCCCGCGATCAAACAAGAAGACCAAGGTCGTCCGGATATGTCGAATCACAGCTCTGCAAACCAAACAACGACCACAAACGCCTCTGGCTCGAGCAACCAAACACAGAACACTGCAGCCACCACCGCCCCTTCAGTCGACGGATCGGCGGCCCAGGCATCGACGCCCGCGGAACCCATGCGTAACCGTCGACGGGAACCGCCCCAGGCTTTTGAGCTCGAAGCTGTCGTGTCATGCACCTCCGACGGTCTTGTCGTTGTCATTCGCAGAGCGCGCCCACCAATTCCGGCACCTCACCCGCCGTTGGTCGTCCCAACCTACACTAACGGTCTCTTTGCGGCGCCTTGGGGTCATCATCCCATCCGGCCTCAAGTTCCCCAGGAATCGCTCTACAACTTCAGACCTCCTCTCATGCCTCAGTACATGCCTTTGCAAGACAACGTCATGGCTGCTGGGGGTCCACCTGTGGACCATCTCATGAGCTCCATCAGAGATGTTGCCGTCTTCGCATGGGCATTGGTGGGAATCAATGGTAATCTCTCGACGTACACGCGAGGAATGCCACGCGGCGAGTCTATACCCGACGGGGGTCTACCTATATGGGATCCCAATGCAGCAAGTGCTTCTTTACATGGACCGGAGAACCAGGCGGTTCGTCGATGGACCCAATACGACAAGGAAAAGACCTTTGGTCCGCCCTCATCGGCTTACCGACAGTCGTACAACCAAGGCATACCATCCGGGTATAGCCATGTACCTCAGATGGGCAGCTACATCTACTCTCAGCCGCCGCCGCCCACGTGGCCCGGTCTACAGCCCGCCTACACGTCGGCGTTTGACCCGTACTCGAGGAACAACAATCATCGAGAACAGCATCATCATCATCATCATCATCATCATCAACCGCAGCTTCATTACGACTACCAGGCCCCTCGTCAGCAGCATCAACCGCAGCCACAAGGTTTTGGTAACGGTCAACGAGGAGCGCTGGAAAATCAGCCATGGGGTGAAATACCCCCGCCGTACAACGGCCAAGGTCAAACCAATGGTCGTTCCAATGGACATGCTGGCGGACATTCGAACGGTCAGCCCAATGGCCAGTCCAACGGGCGGGCTAACGGGCAGACTAACGGCCAACCCAATGGACAGCCCAATGGGCGTTCCAACGGCAACGGACATGTCGATGGAAACTCCGGCAATGGTCCAAACGGATCGGCCGGGCCAAATGATCCATTTCATGGCTATCGTTACCCATGGCAGTAGTTGGAACACTCGAACATGGCAGACGGTAGCATGAGGATGACCATCTCACGAACTCGGGAGTGCATCTGGCGGATTCCATACAGACAGAATGTGATCAAAATTTCAAGGAAGGAAAGTAGGTAGAGGCATTATGAATCCTCGAAGAAGTCGGTAGTGGTCGGTGACGACAAGGAAACAAAAGATTGGGGTGGTTTCCTTCCCCCTCTGGCACAGAGGACGTTGAAAAGGGGGTTGTGTGTACTAGGCATCGGCGTTCCGCGTTTTACTAGAAACGGACGGTAAAAATGAAAAGATACCCCGCGAGGAGCTCGCAAAGGAGGAGAACAAATTTTGTATATAGACGAGTTGGCAGCAGGGTCGCTTGCTGATGTGGAGTTTTTGGTATATTTATTCAAACTAGGTAATTCAGGGCAAAGCTATCTAACCCACATTCGGATTCCATAGCGCGTGATTGTGCGTGTGTATTTAGTTGATCTTGATGTTTGAATCTTTATGTGCACCTGTTCAAAGAGCTTCGACGGACCAGCTCCGTCACGGACAGGACGGGAATCCACATTGAAATCCGGGCCTGGGCCGCGGGAGGGTACAGCACGGAGTGGGGTCAGCACGTTACCCAGACGGGCCATCCCCTAGGCCGGGCAGTTAGCGAGGGCGTGGCATCAAGTGGATCGGGGATGCGGATCTCTTTTTTTCCGATTCAAGGGAGCTTGGACCACCCAATGCTTTCGCCCTGGAGGAAACCGTGGAGTCTTTGACCCAGGAGTCGCAAGCTGCTACGTACGTCAATTAGACCAGAAAGTCCGCCATCCCATCTCGCGAACTTGAAGGTTGCAAAGCGGTTTGCAGTTGAACCATAACGATTCCCCACGACCACATTTCGGATACAACTCTTCTATTGTCCATTACGAAAGGACGAAAGCAACGACAAGTAGTGTTGTTTGTTGAATAACACGAGTTCCCGTTTCAGCCATGGCATCTACGAGCAAACGAGACGACTATGCCAACCCTCCCTTGCCTGACGACGACTTGATTGATCCTGATGATGGTAAGCTTTCTAAAGAGAACATACAGCATGGCTGGTTGATGGAAAGCTAACATGCAAATCTGTGATAAAAGCTGATCTAGATGACTTCGACGACCCTCTCGGCAACACATCCTCACGCCAGCCACTGACAGGCAACATCGGCTCGAGCTCCTCCTCCTCCTCGCGCCCGCTCAACGAGAACGCCTGGACGTCACGCATACCGGGTGAAGACCGCGCCGCGCCGCAAAACACAATCGACGAGTCCGTGTGGGACACGCTCCGCCGCGACCTCCTCGCCGTCTGGGCCAAGATGAGGGAGGTGCTGTACCCCAAGTACCTGCTGGGCGGCACCATGTTCGACGCCGACGGCCTGCGGGGCGCGTACGCCAACATCCGCGGCGCGGGCATCTCGGGCGCGCGCGAGGAGCTGACGGGCCTGGCGAGCCGCTTCATGGACTCGGAGGCGCTGCTGTCGCAGAATAATATGACGCCTGGCCTGCGGGACTGGGATCTGTGGGGCCCGCTTATCTTCTGTCTGCTTTTGAGTCTCTTGCTCAGCTTCAATGCGAGGGCGGACCAGAAGGATGCCGTGTTTAGCGGTGTGTTTGCCATGGTTTGGATTGGGGAGGCTGTGGTGACGTTGCAGATTAAGCTGTTGGGAGGAAGCATGTGAGTTTTTTCCCCTTTGCGCAGTATCTGCGGCCATGAACACACGTGTGTCAGCGAAATACTAACAGACCGCCGTAGCTCTTTCGCGCAAAGCGTCTGCATCATAGGATACACGCTCTTCCCCTTGGTGATTGCGGCACTGCTCTCTGCCTTTGGCATCCCGACCGTTGTCCGGGTCCCTGTGTATCTCGTCCTCGTCGCATGGTCTCTGGCGGCAGGCGTCAGCATCCTGGGCGGCAGTGGTGTGGTCAAGAACCGCGTGGGAATCGCCGTGTACCCGCTATTCGTCTTCTACATCGGCCTGGGCTGCCTCTGCTTCATCAGCTGAGCTGCGACGACTAGGTCGCGAGTCGGAGCAGGAGATCGAGGGGTCTGAGCAGGTTGAGAGATGTACTGTATACGTGGCCTTGGCTGAGGACCTAAGGCGCACACTGTATTCTAGATATCCATGTTGTGCTACTCATCCTCGGGATGATGGCAGGCCACTGAATGAGAAATGGGCGTTTTGATTTTCTGCTGTTAGTTTGGGCTGTTTGAGGACGAGAGTGTCCCGTCTCGCGATAACCCTGTGTGTGCGCCGCCGTACCCGAATTGTGTTTTGCCAAATGTATCTGGGAGGGGGAAGTAGTTTCCCAACGGAACATGTCGTGTAGTGGGAATGGTTATAAATTGGTCATTTCGAATACTATCTAGTTGTAAGACAACCCAGGTCATGAACCAAGGCAAGGACGAACGATTTCTAGCTGCAAGCGGCGTCGGTAGTTGCCGCTAGAATGTCACCTGCGTTGCCCTTTTTGGACAGCCACACCACGGCAGGGCCATTCATCTGACACCTCAGACATCGGAGGCGGGGAACCCCACCGTAGGAACGGTACGGTACAGTGTACCTTACCTTACATCCCGTCACAAGAGAACCTGACTTTTTTAAGTCTCAAATACCCCTCACTTCCAGTCACGCTCTATCCAGTTCAAGGCTAAATCCTCGTCGTATTGAATAGCTAGCTCCCTTGGAACATTGCGGCAGGGTGGTGATATAAATGAGGCTAAAAAAACAAATGAATAAAGCAGAAAGCAAGACAGGACAAAGATTCAGAGGTAGCGAGTTTCTCTCGGGGTACGGCATAGGAAGTTCTAGGCCATCTCAAAGGCAAAGGGCGCTAATGCATGCCGCCATGGGGCCCAATTGAATTCAACTTCTAGGTTGGCACCGTGGACGAGCTGAAGGTGAGGTGCCCAGGCTTTTTTACTCTCGTCTGGCCCCCCCGGGCAGCCGTGACCCGTCGTCTTATCCGAGCCCGGAGCGCACCGAATTGATTGGATCGATTAACCCAGGCGGGAGTCGGTCCCGTCCAATTATTTCCCATCTCAGCGAGCAACGCCAAATCTCTCTGTGAAAGACGAGCCGCTCTTTGTATCGCGCCTACCTTGACTTAGTGATTGTGTACTGCCTGTACTACGGAGTATACCTACTGTACCGCGCTGCAGCAACATCGTAGCACCGCCACTACCTGGACAGTGGACTGACTACCTACCTTACCTTAACTTGCTAGACATTTCTCAACCACAACCTTAACCCCCAAACGCCAGTCGCGCGACACCACCGCCCCCAGAACCCAGAACCCAGAAACGCGGACCTCGGTGTTCTTACCCTGTCGACAACCAAGTTTACTATTGCTCTCGTCGTGGAGAACGACTCTTGGTCTATTGCACAGCAACTGGGCCTTTTTTTTTTATCCTTCTTGCCTTTTTTTTTTTTTTTTGGCTTCTCGTCTGCGCGGCAAAACCCATTTGCCAGCAGTTTCCCACGCTACTAAACTACACCGATTTTGCTCCATCGCTAGCAAAAGTCGGGCACAGAGAAACCTCCGCACCACCACCCGACGACGAACGACGTACACGACGCAGAAACCGCTCCAACACAGGAACGCAGCCAAAAAAAAAAAACCACCATGGCCGACGATCCCCAGCCGGGCAGTCCCAAGTCGGACCCGATCGACGCAAAGGAGGACGCCGAGACCGCCGCTGCCCGCAAAGAGCTGAAGCACACGGCTATCTCAGAGAAGTCCTCCGCGGCGGAAGGAGCCACCGCCGACACGACGCCTTGGGGATCGCAGAACGAGGACCACAAGGACCACGTCTCGTCGCCCAAGAAGAAGCGGGCGCACGACCAGCTGGACGAGGACAAGGACGCCGACGAGGCCGACGTCAAGAGTGTCGCCTCGAGCGACTCGGCCAAGGACAGGGCTTTGCGGCTGGAACCGGAGAAGAAGAGACATAGGGACGAGGTTGCCGGCTCTGGCGACGCTGCGGCCGATTCCTCTGTAGGCTTTGATCTTGACGCATGTGGTTTTGCCGTGCATACTGACGCTGTTCCCTTCTATAGGCGCCACCGACTACCGATACAAAGACGACAGAGAAAGCCGCAACAGAAACTACATCACAGGATTCTACAAAGGACGAGAAGAAGGGAACGTCGAGCTCTGCGTTTGCCAGCTCTGGCTTCGCTAAATTGGCGGCATCGAGTGCGTCCCCTTTCGGCTCGCTAGGAAGTGCGACCAAGGGAAGTGTCTTTGGCGGAGCGAAGGCTGGCGCGTCACCTTTTGGCGGTCTGTCTCCATCCAAGCCTGATGCCGCCCCGGCTCCTACACCTACCCTGAGCTTCGGCGGTGCCGGTTCGGCCTCGTCGCCTTTCGCCAGCGTTAAGCCCGCCGGCGCAAATGGCGGTTTTGGCTCAGTGTTTGGCAGTGCCTTTGGCGGCGGTCTAGGCGGCAAACCACTTTCGAGCTTCGCCAAGACGGGCGAGTCTTCTTTTAAGACCGAGAAGGCGGCCAAGCCGTTCGGAGCTCCTGACAGCGACGCGGAAGACGACAACGAAGATGAGACTGAAGGCGATGCCGATGGAGCCTCAGAGTCTGGCGACAAGGACGAAAAGGAAGAGTCTGACAAGGAAGAGACCAAGGCTGGGGACGATAAGAAACGTACCAAGCTGCAGAAGAGTAAGCAGGCGTTTCCCATTCCGGGACGCGCGAAGTCATACTGACCTGTTGTAGTTACTGTCGACGACGGCGAGGCCGGAGAAGCTACCATAGTCCAGGTCAGAGCCAAGATATTCTACTTGGACAAGGAGGTTGGCTGGAAGGAACGCGGATCTGGTATGCTTAAGATCAACGTTCCCGAGGCTTGTGTCCAGTTCGACGAAGGTGGCTTGCCGATACCTGGCTCCTTTGATGCATCGGCTCTGGAAGACTTGGAAGATCCCGAGGCTGGCGAGAGCAGAGCCAGCAAGGTGCCTCGTCTCATCATGAGGCAGGATCAGACTCACAGGATACTACTGAACACGGTCATCCTGCCGGCGATGCAGTTCCAGGAAAAGGCGACGTTGAAGAGCGTCGGCGTCATGTTCACCGCCTTTGAAGGCGCGGAGGCTAAGCCAGTGAGCGTCCATGTGAGAGTATGTGTTCCCCAACACCACCGAACTGTGAAGCGATTTGATTTGCTAACTCATCACGTCCAGCTGAGTGCTGCTAGTGCAAAGTTATTCCTGAACGAGGTTGGAATGGTGCAGCGAGAGCTCTTGAGCAACTGAGTGATCCATACCGGTATTTCTCAAGTGGTTTTGAGATAGCCGGCGGCGTTAATGGTCGCTTAAATATACCTGTTCAACGAACAAGGGGCGAGTACGCATCACTATAAAGGGAGAGCCAGCGTGAGCATCTCCGGAGCCCGCCTGGAGGCCGTAGGCTACCTTACCTTAGAGAGCGGGCAAGAAGAAGGGCATGCACACAATGGGTGGGATGGCAGAGATTTGTTTAGGAGTCCAGTTTGAACTAGGCGGATATCTCAGGCCCTTATCCTGTCATGATACCAGGAAACCAGGTATCCTTCGATACATTAGATATCACACTCAGTACATTGTAACATGGACACAATTCGACTGAAGATTGAATATTCATTCAAGTTGTCGGGACTTGGACCGTCTCTGTGTAGGAGCCTTTGAACGACTGTAGTTCGAGTGTCGACAAGGGGATACTGTAGGTGGCGCACGTGACCTGGTGTGGATTACGTGACGCAGACGACTTCTTTGATCTAAGAGGCAGTGACGTCGCGCGTCCAAACGCTGGGCACATCACGCTTCACCATCTGTATGTCCAGGAGCTTTTTCTCACAAGGGTGCCGAGCCAGTCACTTTCTGTTGTCGACTTCTAAACCCCAATTCTTCGCTCTCGCATTCGAGAGATGGCGGCCTGCTAAGGGTCACTGGTTCAAGCGACCATGTCGAGCGCTGCTCCAGGCGAGCCCCAGGCGATAGTACGGAAGCCCAGGGGTAAGAGGAAGCGGCAAGAAGATGAGAATGGTACTTCTACGCAGGAGCGTCAGAACGGTGGCGGTTCCATAGAGGACGGCCCATCTAATACCGACGATGCAGCGTCCACTGACGCACAGAAAACGACCAAGTCCAGGAAACGGGCTGCGCCGAAAAAGGCCGGGTCGAAACGGAATAGCACGGAAAGCGTAGCCCCCGCCGAGGAGTGCAAGATTGAGTGGCCTCAACGGTTCAAGGACTTGGAGAAGACGCATCGCGCGCTCAATCTCGTCTTTACGTTTTGTTGTACTCGCAAACACCTCGCCACCACGTTTGAGACGATCAAGTCCTCGGTGGAATCGCATACAAAGACGTCCTTGACAGTCGAAGATATAGCTTCCATCGCCGCCATACGCCCCGAGGGCGTCAACTTTGCCTATGTCGACGAGATTATGCTGCAGACCGAGGTTAGGGGCGCCGAGCGCGACGTGGTGTTCAAGAAAGGGCGGGATTTCCTCTCTCAGGCGCCCGCTCCGGACGCCTCTGTCGGAGGCATTTCGGGTCTCGAGAAGCTGGATCACCACCCCGATGAGGCTGTCGAGGGAGGCAAAGAAGTGCTGTACTTTGAGTTTGTGGACGGCGATCTGAAACGACAGGTCAAGGACAGGAAGACGGGCGAGATTATCAAGCCGAACAGGAAGCTGAGGGAGGAGACTCTCAAGATGCCCGTCTACAGCCAGAAGCAGATGACGAACTTGATCGAGAGGCGGAATCAGAGGTTCAACGACGCCATTATCCATTTTCTCAACCAATGCGTCGCTGATGGGCTTGATCCCGAGCTGAGTCTGGCGACGGCAACGGAGGCTCATATTCCTGTACCGACAACCATAGAGGAGGAGGGGCCAAAGGATCTCGGAGCTTTGCCCGAGTCTATCCCAACAGAACGGAAAAGTGTCCCGGAGATTGTACAGGAGCTGAAAGACTGCTCTTGGTACAGTGGTCAGATTGTGCCCGACGGACACCGCGTGTTTGAGCCACAGGAGCCCGTCTACGGCGATCTCAACTTCCTCCTCAGCCAGGATCTTGTGAATGCGCTGTACAACGCAAAGGGCATCACGCAATTCTTTGCGCACCAGACCGAGGCCATCAACGGCCTGCTCGAAGGGCAGCACGTCGTCGTGGCCACGTCGACGAGCTCCGGCAAGTCTCTGATTTACCAGCTGCCGGTGATCCACGCCCTGGAAGAGAACCCGCACACGCGCGCCATGTACATTTTCCCGACGAAAGCCTTGGCGCAGGATCAGAAACGGAGTCTGAGGGAGCTTATGAGCTATATGCCGGGTATGGGGGAAGTGCTCGTGGAGACGTTTGATGGAGATACGCCGATGAAGGAGCGCAATGTGATCCGGGAAGAGGCGAGAATCATCTTTACAAATCCGGATATGTTGCACATCACAATTTTACCGCAGGAGGAGAGGTGGAGGACGTTCCTGAAGAACCTCAAGTATGTCGTCGTCGATGAGCTGCATTACTACAACGGGCAGATGGGTTCCCACGTGGCGTTCATCATGAGGAGGCTACGAAGAATATGCGCTGCCGTTGGGAACCGCCACATCAAGTTTATCTCGTGTTCTGCGACGGTAGCCAACCCTAGGCAGCACTTTAAGACGATCTTTGGCATAGAAAATGTGCGATTGGTTGACTTTGACGGCTCCCCGTCCGGCATGTTTTCTGCCTGGCCCCTTTTCCAATTTCCATGGACTAACTTGAGATAGGCCGCAAAGAGTTTCTCTGCTGGAACACGCCGTACAAGGACCCCGGAGACCCGGCAAGCGGTCGAGGTGATGCCTTGTTCGAATGTGCTCGCCTCTTCTGCCAGCTGATGCTCAGGGGCGTGCGCATCATTGCTTTTACCAGGGTCAGAGAGCAGTGCGAGAAGCTGGTCACCGCAGTGCAGCAGGAACTGGAATCTCTCGGGCGGCCAGAGTGCGTCAACAGAGTCATGGGCTACAGAGGCGGCTACACGGCGCAAGACCGACGGCGAATAGAGTCAGAGATGTTCGAAGGCAAACTCCTCGGCATCGTCGCGACCACCGCCTTGGAGCTTGGTATCGACATTGGCACGTTGGACTGCGTGCTGACCTGGGGGTTTCCCTATACCATTGCCAACTTGCGCCAACAGAGCGGCCGCGCTGGACGAAGGAACAAGGACTCGCTGTCGGTCTTGGTGGGCGACTGTTTCCCGACTGACCAACACTACATGCAGAACCCGGACGAAATCTTTTCCAAGCCGAACTGTGAGCTACAGGTCGATCTGGAGAATATGCTGGTGCGAGAAGGGCACATCCAGTGTGCCGCGTATGAAATGCCTATCCGGCCGGTTGAGGATGCTCAGTATTTTGGCAAGGATTTGCCCATCATCTGTGAGGAGAGGCTGGTAAAGGATCCTTTGGGTTTTTATCACTGCCACGATCGGTTTCGTCCCGTCCCTTCGAGGTTCGTCGCCATCCGTGATACTGAAGATGATCACTTTGCCATTATCGATATCACGCACGGTAAGAATGAAGTCTTGGAGGAGCTTGAAGCATCAAGGGCAACGTTTACGATATACGACGGCGCCATTTTCCTTCACCAAGGGAACAAGTACTTGGTCAGGGATTTCCAGCCCGAAAAGATGATGGCGAGAGTGGAGCGCGTCAAGGTCGAATGGACCACGACGCAGCGAGACTTTACCGACATTGACCCGATCGAGACGGAAGCCATTCGAAAGATCTCCGGATCCATGTCGAGAGCCTTTTATGGCACAATCAAGATCCAGCAGAACGTGTACGGGTTCTTCAAGGTGGACAAGAAGAAGCGCGTGCTCGACGCCGTGCACGTCGACAACCCCCCCGTCATCCGCTACGGCAAGGGGATGTGGCTCGACATACCGAAAAAAGCACTACAGATCCTCGTCGACCGACGACTGAACATCGCCGCGTCGATCCACGCGGCCGAGCACGCCATCCTCAGCCTGATGCCCAACTTTGTCATTAGCCTACCGGGCGACGTCCGCACGGAATGTAAAATCGCCCTCAAAGAATTCGCCAACAAGGATTCCCAGAGGAAGAGACCGGGCCGTCTGACGTTTTACGACGCCAAGGGCGGTGCCAGCGGGTCGGGAATCAGCACAAAGGCGTTTGAGCACGTGGACCATCTGCTGCAGCAGGCCGTGAAGCGGGTCGAGGACTGCTACTGCGAGCACGGGTGCCGGGAGTGCGTTGCGTCGGACCAGTGTAAGCAGGCGAATGAGGTGATGAGCAAGGCGGGGAGTCAGGTGATCTTGAAGACGTTGTTGAATTTGGAGATTGATGTTGATGCGTTGCCGATGGGGCCGGAGGAGTATTGTCCTGCGGGGATTGAGACTGTTGTTGTGGCGCAGACTGTGCCGGGTAAGGATGGGGAGAGGGTGAGGGTTGTTGAGGTGAAGGAGGAGGAGTTTGATGAGGGGGATACGGTTTTGTTGGAGGAGGTTGAGGTTTGGGATGGGCGGGAGGAGGAGGAGGAGGTACGGGAAGATGGAGAGGTGTGAGGCTGTGATGGTGTGAGGTTGTGATTATGGGAGTTCGTACTGGAATTACGATATAGCCTACCGATAACACTGGAGGAACTCGAACAGAGTTTAAGCTATTGTCAACTCATGAAATTGTCATGCCTGTCTACCTGCGCTTGCCCGCACATCCTCATTAACTCGCCCTTCTCTGTCAATTTCAGGGGTTGGGTAGCCGAATACTAAAAGATAACGACTCAGGGGTAGTTTGTTCGTAAGTGAAGCCAGAGAAGGGTCCTCGTTTGTGACGTTTCAATCTTGTGGTCGTATATCCTCTTGTTTCTTCACTCCGAGATACTAGGCTAGCTGGGCAATACGGAGGATATAAAGGGCTTTGGTGTGACAGTCATCAAGTGAGTTGAAGTTAATATCCTTCCTAGGGAAATATTACACATGACACGCCGTCCCGGCAGAGGATCACTGATGGTGATGGGTGAGTGATGGTTATAGCATCACATCAGGTCCTGGAATTGTACTCGTTTCCTCTTCTATTGGTTTCTTCATCTTGACGTCCCCCTATTCGCAAACGACCGACATCCTGGAAGAAGATATGCCAGTATGATTTGATATTCTACTGAGAACCAGCGAACTCCTAAAGCCGGGTGTATAGGTAGGAGCGAGTAAGTAACCTTCCTACCCAAGCATGCCTGCCTGGCGAATTTCTGCTTCTAGTTCCTTCTAGAACGTCATAAAAATGTGACATCGGCACCTCAGCTTTAGTATCACGACTATTTTACTACTGTTAACCATATGGGTCGCTCAATAACTGTCATTACTCAATCTCATATTGGGTAGGTAGGTACTTCATTAGACATTGAGGTGAAAAGGTGAAAAGAAAAACAGAAAAAAATAGAAGAAAAAAGTAAACGGACCTATTGATTGAGGATTCGAATGATCGAAACCTTGATGTAAACCAGAGACCTCATAATCTAGTTAAAGATCAAGACCCTCTACCCCTCAACCACTAGGCCCGTTCGTGGTGTTGAGGGATGTGAAGTTGATTATAAGGTGGGGGAGGACAGGCAGGCAGGCAGCATCAGGTGAGTAAGGGACCCATTCGTGAGGGTATATTCAAGTAATGTGAATACACACCTCACCCCATCGCTCCTTCCCACGGGTGATGCCTTTGTTCCTTCCCTCTTGCCCTTAACTGCCTACCGACCGCCTCTTGACCGCCCACGAACCGCCCTTTACTGATTCCTCCTTTCCCATTCCTATAAATACCCCCCTTCTCATCGCCTTCTCCCTCGTCCATGCTTTTCCCTTCACGCTTCCACTCACTCTTTGACCTTAGCTTTAAGATCGCTTTTATCACCTCTTCCTCTTGCACGATTATATACGGCAAGCGTCAAGACGTTGTTCAAATACATCAGACCGAAAATTTGCCCTCTTCTCGACTATTCCATCCAAGAAAGCTTCCATCTAAGAGGCTTTTCAGTCTAAGAAAGAGCGATCTGAGCAGTGTTGAAGCACCTCTTTCTCGAAGAAGGTTCGCAAGACACACTTTCTTCCCCCGGCACCCAGCATCTCCATCCCACACCAGAACCCTCATCGACGATCACACCCAGCAATCAGTATATCACTCCCTTTGTGCCCTATCAACTTGAATTTTCACTAAAATTCACGATAGAAATGGCTCAGAACGATGCTCAAAGACTTGCTCCCCACGACCAGGTCCTGGCGTCATGCCTGGCCCGGCTCAACCTCGAGAATGACCAAGCTCGAAGGGTCTCTGCCGCTCGTGCGGCTGCCACAGCTGCTGTTGGTGGCAAGAGCGGTGGCAGCACGAGCAGCAGCAGCAGCAGCAGCAGTCTGAGCGGTCTCGGTCGTAGCGGAAGCAAGGCTACAAGAAGCCAAGGTCACGACGGCACTCTCAAAGCTGGACCTTCTAACACTGCCGGCGTCGAGCAGCTGGTTTGCATCGACGCAGATCCTTCCAACGCCAGCACAACGACTACGACAAGCCATAGCAGAGGCTTTGCTCCCATGCGTATGGTTGCTGAGCAGCGGGGCCAAGTCACTCATGCACCCCACGAACAAGCGATCTCACAGTTTGCAAAGGAGTTCTACAGCCTGCCGTCCAACTACGCTGGCGACGCTTTGAACCTTCGCAATCAAAGTGCGCCATGCAAGGATGAGGAGAACACAGCACTCTTCATCACCGGACTTCCAGCTAATTGCACTCACACGATGCTGCTTGAGGCTGTTACTCGTTGTGCTCCGGTGGGAAAAGTCTACGCAGCCGTTATCAATGCCGCCAAACCAGCTGAAGGGCAGCTTTGTGCCGCAGCAAAGATAGTATTCTTTAATCGGGCTGGCGCTGAGAATTGCTTCAAGGCCATCAAGCAAGGAAGGCTCATTGTCGGAGGGCGCCGTCTCAGAGTTGTCTGGAACAGAACCAAGTCAGCTGTACAGCCAGACACCAGCAACTCAAGGGTTGTTCTAATCCGGGGCCCGTCTGGGCTGGTCAAACGCAATGAGCTCGAACACTGGTTCTCAAAGTACTTTGAGTACCAGACAGAGAGGGTCTTGGTTCGCAAGCAGACTGGACCTCAGGTTACAGTGCTGGAATGGCGGTTTGGTAGCTTCCGAGCACAAGCGGAGGCCGCCACTTTACTCCTCAGTCAGGAGGAGTTTGGCAACATGAAGTTGGAATGGCGTTGGGGAGTGGACCCTTGCGCCTAGAGATCTTCCAAGCTGGTAGAAGTAGAGGCGGCGGATCGGTTGTTACGGCACGGGAAGTGCGGGAAGGAAGTCAGAAAGCCAGAAGGTTAATGTTGGTGAGGCTGGCTGAGAGGAAGTGGACATTGTTTTGGGTGTTTTGGGCGTTTTGAGATTTCGTTTTTAGAAGAAAATACAACCAAAGACCCGATTATGGTCGACCAAAAGGGGATGTGCACCAGGATATGCAATGGAAGTCAGAGTGAATGCAGGCGGATCAAAGAAGCTTTTGCCAAGGGGACAAGCTGGGATGGAACGGTTCGCTCATCGGGGGTGGAGGTGGAGATGCGATGTGCGACGGTGTCTCAGGCTGTGTGGAAGCTCGTGGCATCTTGCTTGGCTTTGTCGATGGGAGACCCAGTTGTTCATCGGGGAGATGCTAGTGTGAGTCTTTCCTCTTGGCTGGTCTTGGCTCATATTGGCTTCATCTTGGTTTGACCTGGTTCGACATTTGGTTTTGCTTACTATAATATGCTCTGATCGTAGGTTCTCGGAACCATGGGTGTTATAGGCCCAGGTTTCTTGGAGTTGAGCCTCCCTCGTTCCCCCAGTCCCTCAGACCCCTTGTGTTGTGCGCGCGTTCCGTCAAAAGTCTGTGCTTGGCTGCCTCCCTCGGAGAGTTCAGGTGTCCTTACTTTATGCTCTGTCCGAAAAAAAGTTTGGTTCCTTGCAACTTCAGGGCGGGTTGCAGTTAGACGCATTGGACGCCCGCCTGGTGCATAACTTTGCACAGATTTTGAGATTTTGAGAAAAGCCTCGGCACTTTATCAGGAACCGGGGGAACTCGACACTCTCTGAGAGGACGGAGATGAGAAGCAATGTCCCCCCCCATGTCGGCGTGGTCATTGATGACAGACAAGTCTTGAAGAAAACATGATGAGAGCAGTGGCTGGATGCGCGTGGAACTCTGAGAATCTTGGAATGAAAGTCTTGGCACAATCTCTTTAACTGGTGGAGGAAGAGGGAAGGAAGACGGTAGTGACGGTAGTGTGCAGGCTTGCAGCAATTTGCAGTAAGGTACTCAGTGCTGGCGTTGCATTCTATTGGGGAAATGCTCCGGGACTTTGATGGTCTTCAGGGGTCTGCGATGGCTTTGTGACGTCGTTTGGCGTCGCTGGAGTTGCAGGCGTCGTTGGGCTGCTGCTTATCTGCACGACGTTTTGTCTTGGCGAATATTTCTTCCCCCCTCCCTTGCCTGCATTACCGCCAGTCTGGGAGTGGTGTCGCTTCTTTGTGGTGATGCAGGCTGGCTGGAGTCTGGACAACGCGAAGGAAAAAAAAACCAAACCAAAACATAACATGAAGCCTCGATACACGAATGGACCAGGCTTCCAGAAAGCAGGGCGTGTCTGCCTTTCCTATCGTCCGTACCTGGGATCAAATTCCAATTACCACCTCTCTCTCACGCGTCGCATCCTCACACACGGACGGGAAAAGTATCTTGTACTTTTGGTTTCACGGCATTTCAGGCGGCGCCCGTCGAACGAGCCAGCTGGCCAGGTGTACCCATACACACACGCACGCCCGCCGTCGCTCTCTCTTCCCAAGTTCCCACTCGTCCAACAATGCACAGGGGTTCTGTCAGAGCTCTTGGCATGACAGCAAGCTTGGCTGTGCCTTGATTCACCGACTCTCAACAAGCCCTGAACTCTCTCTCTCTCTCTCTCTCTCTCTCCCTCCCCGGGCAAGGTTTCTCTCGCTAGTATTGAGTCTACATGTGTATCCGTACCTTTTCTTCTTCGGCTCCCCTTGCTACATATGCTGCGAAGCCGAACATGTCACAAACTTTCTTGCTCTCTTTCGGATTGATGTCCCTTCAAACCACTGGCCCACCGTACACAGTTCAAGCTTCACTTACACAACAGCAACAAGACAATACCTATGTTCATACTCAGGTTCCCCCTTCTCACCGACTGGTCAGCAGCGAGAGAGAGAAAAGCTCAAGTTGAAACGTAGTCGCCCCGAAACCCCCCAGGCCCGGTCCAGCCCAGCCCCCCGGACAACCTTGAACACACAACCCCTGCTACCGCTACCCGCGGTTACCACATCACCGACGGACTGGACCACGTTGATCAAGACTGGGGAACGAAGGGCCCTCACTTCTTCTCCATCTCTTGAGAATCCGTTTATTATATTCCCCCTTCCCCCATCTGCTGTTCGTCCAGCCACACTGTCAAAAGTCTTGGTATTGGGGCTGTTCCACACTTCTTCACCGTCCCTCATCCCAGTGATACAACCTCGGTGTACCCGCCTTCTTCGACTTCATATAAGATATACATCCCGCCCTTACAGCATTGCTACTTCCTCCGAGTGAAGCACCTTGGAAGAGACATACTGTCTAGACAAACATAGACGACTCAAACCGCCGTCATGTCGGCTCCGAGGTCACCCTACCGCCAGAGCCACAGATCGTCAACCGATGGACGATCACGGCGACGAGAATCAAACCACCCCATCATCCCTCCCGAAAAGGCACGCACTTCCAACTACTCTTCCCGCGGCGGCGATGAGCTGCCGAGTCACAACGGGCACCTCCACCGAAAACCTCCGCCAGGTAGCAAAGTCAGAGTCAAGCCGTCCGGCGAGAGTGGCCGCAGGGGCTTCCACCCCTTCAAGTTCCTCAAGATTTCCTGGAAGTCATCAAGTCGAGCCTCCCTACTCTGCAACTTTCTCTGGCCTTTTGTACCTGCCGCTTTTGCCGTTCGATACATCCGACCAAACAACCATGTCCTCATCTTCATCCTCACTTACATCGCCATGATCCCCTGTGCCAACATGGTTGGTTTCGCCGGCCAGGAGCTTTCCCGGAAAGTCAGCCACGTCTTTGGCGTGCTGATCGAGACGACGTGAGAAAAGCCCGTTCTTCTGCCACAGCATATGATGCTAATACGAGTTCGTAGCTTTGGGTCCATTGTCGAAATCATCCTCTTCATGGTACTTCTCGCCGGAGACCAGTTCACCGTTATCAAAGCTGCCATCTTGGGATCCATCTTGGCAACTATGCTTCTCTGCTTGGGACTGTGTTTCATTGCCGGCGGCATGCGACGAGACGAGGCCGAGTTCAGCGAGGTTGTCAGTGAAGCGGGTAGCGGCTTGCTCCTCACAGCGTAAGTAGAACCTTTCCCACTGACGACATGACGCGATGCTAACAAACCGTGACCAGCGGCGTCGCCCTCGCCATCCCGACCCTCTTCGCCAACTCGCTCGAGAACCAGCTCACGGCCGAAGAACTCGGCAGCAAGACCCGCCACATCTCCCGCATCGTGTCCTGCCTCCTCATCATCGCCTACGCCGTCTACGTCTACTTCCAAGCCCGCACCCACCACGGAATCTACGACGCAGTTTTTGAGCACGACGAGCAGCGCGACCGCGACAAGCGCAAGGACATCAACAAGCCCAAGCTGACGCTGACCGAGTGCCTCGTCGCCCTCGTCATCTCCATTACGCTGGTGACGTTCATGGCCATCTACCTCGTCGAGCAGATCGCGCCCATTGTCGAGAAGCACAACATCTCGGACCCCTTCATGGGCCTCATCCTCGTGCCCTTTGTCGAAAAGGCCGCCGAGCACCTGACGGCCGTCGACGAGGCGTGGGATAACCAGATGAACTTTGCGCTCTCGCACGTCCTCGGCGCCACGCTGCAGACGGCGCTCTTCAACGCGCCGCTTGTGGTTATCGTCGCGTGGGGTCTGCACAAGCACATGGATCTCGTCTTTGAGGTGTTTGATATCGGCATGCTCATCTTGGCTATCCTGACGGTTGGAAATTTCTTGAGGGATCAGAAGAGTAATTACTTGGAGGGATTCTTGAGTGTGACGATTTACGTTGCTATTGCCGTGGCTGCGTTTTATTATCCCACGCTACATGGCGGTGCTGCTGCGGAAGGGGGAAGTGCGGAAGGGGGCCATTGAGGCGGCGTGGGATATGTATGTGTATGAATGGGATGGTAAGAAAAGGAAATAACAATAACGATAGTCACGAAAGAAATGTACATGACTTCTTCTCTTTTTGGGAGGTAATATTTACGGGGAGTCCAATGGTGTATAATCAAAGAGATTGTTCAAGTTGCAAAATGCAAAGTGCCTTAGTCCCGATGTGTCCTACCCGTTATATCACAGAATGACATGTAAGACAGAATTTGTCATGGGCAATCTACTATTGCATCGCTAGGAAGGATATATATATCTGCTGGGTATCCGCAGCGCCCACCCCCATGTCACGCATGTAAGTGCAATTAAAGCGAAGCTTGTACGCGTAATCTTTCCTTCCCTCCCATCCCGCGAAGATATCCAAATACGCCGTTGAAAACAGAAAGGAGCCCCCCGCTGATAAGCAAAAATTGTAAACATGCCGGTTTCCGCCCCCGATCAAGAAGATTTGAATTAAGCCCCCCTCCGGAGATGCTCGATTCTCTGCAACTACCTATCTCTCTCTCTCTCTCTCTCTGGATGCTCGGTCGTTGATACAAACTCCACCCACACTCGCACCCTCCACTAACTACGGCCCGGCGCGGTGGCGGCTCTGTCTGCTGACCAGGGGACCTGTGTGCCGAACTTCCGAGCTCCGTGGGCCCGGTCACGGGACGGGGCGTTTTGACGCCCTCTATGATGCAGAGTTGGCTACTGTAACCTTTTTAAAAAAAAAATTGGGATAGTGACTAGAAGAACAGCAAGTCGTCTTCCTTCCATCCGAGGCTAGCAAGACTGGCGCGAACCCCCTTCTCCAACGGTTCCGGTCCGCAAACGAGGACGAGCGCATCGTCGCCGCCGCGGCACCTGCCCACCTCCCTCTCGAAAAAGGCGGCGTCCATGCGACCCGTCAGCCCCGTCCACTCCGGCCCGGGTTTCGTGAGGGAGTACACCAGCCGGCACTTATCTGGCCCGGCGGCGGCGGCGGCCATGGCGTCGAGCTCCGCGCGGCAGAGGATATCCTCCTCGACGCGGTTGCCGTCGAGGAAGAGGCACGTCGTCGGGTCAGCTTCGTCTTTGAGGACGGCGCGGAGGACCTGGAAGATTGGCGTTATGCCGGAGCCGGCACAGATCATGACGAATCGTTTCACGGTGCGGTGTTTCCCCGAGATGGAGCATAGCCCCTTGCCGAGGTACTCGAACTTGCCAATGGGGCCCTTGAAGTCGACAAAGTGGCCGACGGGGATGGCGTCGAGGGCCTGTGTCATCTTGCCGCCCGGCTGGCCGCCGGGGGCGTCGTAGTAGATCTTGACGAGGACGTGGAGTTGACCCCGTTCGGTGCCCTCTGATATGGGTGTGTAGGCGCGGATGATGGCTTCGCGGGTGACGGGGTCGCGGAGGCGCATCATGAGATGCTGGCCGACGGGAAGGCCGGCGATTTGGTCGCCGTGTTCGAGGGTGAAGGTGAAGATTTTGGTGTCGGAGGAGATTTTGGTCTTTTTCGAAAGGATGCCCTTTGTCCAGGTCTTGGACTGCAGGAAGACAGCGCGAGGGGAGGCTTGGGCGTCTTCTACTACGACCTCGCCTGCGCTTAGAATCTTTTGGGCTGCGGAGTCGAGGGTGCCAATGTGGTATTGAGGCATCATGGCCTTGGCATTTTCGCTGTCTACGGGGAGAGTGTTAAAATAAGGCACCTTGCGAAATGGGATGGCTGCAAACTCACGAATGGCCAAGAACTCTTCTGATACGTCCTGTGCAGCTGCTCCAAAGATGGATGCTGCACCTCCCGGATGACCTTCTAAGAAAGGGGTGCCGTCGTACACTTCGTTGTTGACGACAAACCAAGGCTCTACCTCGCCCTCGTGCTGGCGCAGCTCGTCAATGGAGATTGTCCGCTTGACGGTGTCCTTGGTCATGCAAATTTCCTTGACGGGCTCCAGCTCTGTTGTATTGTCGGCCTCGCCCTCGACCTTCTCGCCCCAGAACCCGTTGGCCAGGTTTCCACCGGCTTTCTTGACGCGGTCCATCCACCCGCCCGGCATGAGAGCCGGTTGCGTGGGGTGCTCGAAACGAAGGCTGTGACCTTCTCTGTGGATGACGACCCTGAACCACGGATTGTTCATCATGCCCAGAACGCTCCAGTACATGTCTCTCGGCTGCACTATCATGCCCTCGTCCATGGCGCGGACCATGACGTCCGCCGCGTCCGCGAGCTGGGCGACGGGGATGTCCAGGTCCCAGAAGCACCAGCAGAAGCAGCTCTCTCTCCAGTCCATGTCCACGCGGCCGCCGTAGAGGGTTTCGCCCTCGGGGGCGAGTCGGTACGTGTCTTCGGGGTAGTTGATGTTGGCGAGGAGCCAGGTCTTCCCGCGGTCTAGGGTTATTTCTACTCGAGTGATGCGTCGTCCGCCGCCGCCATACGCGTAGCCGCGGACGTTGTAGGACTCTGGACCGTTGGTCAGTGACAGAGTCTCGTCGTGCGCAGGATAGCAGGTGGCGCTGTTCGTGTTGAGGTCGTAGATGGCGTAACGTTCATCTTTCCACACTTCGGGAAGGTCGGCACTGGCGTCTGGAGAGACCATGGTAGGGAGCACGCGGTTGTCGTAGATATGGTACCAGTTGTCACTCGGCTCCTTCGTCACGATGATCTTCTTGAGCCACTTCACGCTTCTGCCGCCGATCTGCCCGGGAATAATGATGCGTACTGGCTTTCCGTGGTCGGGGTGCAGCAACTCGCCATTCATGCGGTAACAGACGGTCACGCCGCGGTTGGGGTCCATGCACCAGTTGAGCTTGATACTCGTTCCATAGTATCCGTTGGGCAGCTTGTCGGCGCCCTCGAAACAGACGTATTTGGCGCCTCTCTTGGGCATGGCTTTGGCGAGCAGGTCGCCTATGGAGACGCCGGTCCAGATGGCCGTTGACAGGCCGGCGGCGCCCCATGAGAAGCCTTTTGACTTCCTAACCATGTTCTGTTCTTTCCGGCGGTTGCCAGCACATACGAGGGTGACAGGGTAGGTGATCTGCTCGTAGTCTGAGATGAGGTCTCTGAGCGTCATTTTGATGGGGTTCTCGACCAGGCCCTCGACTGTGAACTCCCAGTCAAACATGTCCTCGTCGTCGACTTTTGGCACGGGACCGTGGTTGCGTACATAATGCAGGTCTTTGGTGGTGATGAAGCCTTCATCGTACAGCTCGCTCAGGGGAGCCTCGACGTTGAAAGGGTGAAGTCCCGTTAACCGTATGAGTCTAGGATCTCGGGTGACGTGGCTGTCGGGTGTCTTGAGGTCTTCCGTGAGGACCTTGTTGACTCTGGACTTGGGGGGTAGGGGATATGTGCGGGGCCCCTCGACGATGACTTCGTCTAACAAGCATCCTGATATTGAGCAGTCTGATCCGCCGTCGACGCTATAAGATTGAGCCTCTCTTACAGTTGTTGCCGGGCTCGGAGGGAAGCTGAGCTCCTTTTTGGCGTGCGATTCCCGTAAGGATATCGTTCCAGGAGCGGGAAGAATATCCATGCTTGATAATCGCTGTCTATGAATGCCGAGTAGACGTGATGAGGAAGAGTGGACGAAGCTGAACAGGACAGGCGTCCGGGGTAACAGTTGTCTCAGTCGTTGATGACAATCACAAGCTAGCCATCAAATTGCTTAGACGCTAGGTAAGAATTACTCAGGTATCAAACGAGAAAAACAAGGCTCGATGCAAAGTCGCTATGTAGCAGAGTAGATAGTCAGAAATTATGAGAGAAAAGACAGAATTTACGAACGCCGGGCAAGGATGGAATAAGTAACAGTGATGAGTGGGTTTGGGTTGGTGGAGGTGAGTGAGAATTGGTTTTCCTGGGGCCGGAGTCTGGTGTCTGTGGTGTGGGCGGGCCAGACGCACGACAGGGGGGGCGAGGGGAATGGGGAATTGCTGCATGACATGACATGGCATGGCAAGTACTTCGTACGGATACAAGGCCAAAGATTTAAGGCCTTGCTCGGGGATGGGGTGGGATAGTATAACATCGCATCATCAGATGGAGGTGACGCTAAGATAAAGGCCCATCGGGAAAGGGCCGTGGACAGGCAGGATCGTCTCTCCGAGAAGCGTCGCTGACGGTTGGACAAGAACGTACGTACATAGTAAGATAATTAGAGAAAGTCCCGTCCTTGTACAGAACCTGCCGTGCCATATTCCATCCTCGCCAGAGACTTTAGCTTGAGTACCCTCGTTGGCCTTGGTGAAAGTGTCGTGTAAGTGAAAAGACGATTCGCCGGCGAATGAGATCGACCAGACGGCTCCGAACCTGGCAACTTGCCTTATTCGACGGGTACGGGACGGCGTGAGGCGAGGAGATGCAACATTCTAGCTAGGAAGGGAGTGGGCTCTACGTGTTGAAGAGTTCCGCGGAGGAAAGACACACACTGACACGACTGGCACGCTGGAGCGGGATTCTTATCAGTTGGCGTCATTCTTCTCTTGGACAGTTTGACGTTGGCGGTTAGACTGATGCTATTGGGGCGATAAGGGCTCAAAGCAACGGACGAGGGAAATCTCAGCGGAGATGCTTGATTCGACTTTTCCTTTCTTTATCGGCTCGGCATTTCCAGGTCCTGGATTGGTCAAATGGCTCGAATGGAACCCCGATCGGGATCCATGCCCCTGGGTCCGGGAATGCCCCGTGGAAAGGATTAAAAGGATCCCGGATCGGGGGGTTTCTCTGCCCATGCCCCTCCGGTTGGCGGCCGCATGAGCCGTACTTACCTCCTTCCTCGAGCCCGCACTTGAACATGTTCACATCCAAATCTTGCACACCTAGTGCGCTTGTTCAAGCTCAAAAACGGGGTTCGGTTCTCAGTTGCAACTGCCCCACCGGTGCTGTGATGGCCAGCAGGGTGGTGAGATTTGTTTTACTGTTGACAAGTTCGGTGAGGCATCATACCAGGTTTACAACCTTCAATCTGACAGTCGTTCGTTCACCTGTCGTTGGGCTAGGTCTCTTGACCCCGTCA